CACAAATTCCGTTCTGTACAAAATTAAAAAATATAATAATAATAATAAATAAAAAATGTACGGAGCAAAAAAAATATTGTATGGAATGAAGGTTGTACTGACTGATTAAACCAATTCCACACTTCCTTTGACTTATGTTTAGTCGTTTTTTTAGGAATTATATTAATGTTGATGGTAATTGGTGTTGTACACGGACATGTCTATATTAATATATAGTAACCGAAAACCTGATTCTTTAAAGTGGAGAACATGTTGGAATGCACTAGTTAAATTGATCTATGAAAGGCTGTGCTGCATAATAAAAATGTGAAAAATAAAAAAAAATGCGAATTTTTAATTTTTACCAAGTTATTATTGAATTATATTATTGATAGTATTTTTAAGACCTCATTTTGTTAAACTAAGTAGAATTGATAATTCCAGCTCCTATTTCATCAGCTTGTTCTAAAAAGAATTGGTCCACTTTTTCTTTATACATAAAAAAAAATAAAAACAAATTGACATCTGAATGTGTTTAAATTGTATATATATTTATTTTATTACAAAATAAAATGTCCAAAAAATACCAACAATGATTACAATCGATGGTGATAAAAATGTGGGAGGCGAAAATGATAAAAATGATGAAGAAGGCGGTGGTAGTGATAATAATATTGAAAATGATATTTTTTTAAAAAAATGCAAATTTCACACAATTTCCCATCTATATGAAGACTAATCTGTCTGTTAACATTACTTTCCCAATGTAAAATTGAAAATTTTTATACAGCTTATCAAGAATATAAGTTTCTAAACTATTATTATGGATTTTTAATATTAATAACATAGTTGGCTCAGTCTAAAGACCTCCGCAAATTTTAAAAGTATAGAAGTCATTTTCAGTCCTACCTCTTAAAAAAATAGCCTCATTAGTTGATATAATAGGTCTCTAGTTTTAATCTAATGAAAAGATTTTATCAAAAAAATATTATTTGTTGTATAGTCCTACTATTACTATGTTCACGAGGAATTTGAACGCCATGATCATTTAGACTAACACGCGACCATCATATCTAAATTTGGCAGCAAGTTAACTAAAGTCACGTGAAGACTTTTTTTTAAAAAAAAAAATAGTGCGCTAATACTAATGACTGATATGAATCATGAAATTGCCGAGCGCATGGCGCAGCAATATGACCGAACAAACCATATAAAATAGAAAAGATTGTTTTTTTATTAGTCCTACAATAATAAAAATTTTGTGAATTTCCATAAAAAGGGTTTAATATATTAATATAATTTGGTCTAAACATTTTTTATAATAATTCAAAAAAAAAATGTCATTTCAAGATTTATTATCATCATTATCATCAGACAGAGAAAACTTTTTATTTAGTACTTATTCTGAATTAGAAAATAATTCTGCATCAATTGCAAATGATATTACTTTGTCAAACATATCCAGAAGAGAAATTCAAAAGAATACATTTTTATCATTAGTAACTGAAAATGAAAAACTTTCAGAAAATGAAAAAGAATATTGTAAAGAAAGATATATTTATGAATTGGAATTAGATAATGCAACTTATAAATGGGGTGAATTAAAAGAATGTAACAATTGCAAATTAGGCAGTTACTCAGACAGATTTTGTGAAAACTGTATTTGTTTACATTTACAGAAGCTTTTTGATACATGGTCATCTGGAAACAGCATCATTGACAATTTTATTCAAGAATTTCAAAAGCTCTCATCTCTTCCTACACGTATTGTGGAATGGATCCCATTTGATCAATTTGTAGGAGTGAAATATTTAACTAAAGGAGGTTTTGGTAGCATTTATGTTGCCACATGGAAAAAAGGGAGTATATTTGACTATGATGAAAATAAAAAAGAATTTATTTATCATGGACCTCAATATGTAGCATTAAAACTATTAAATAATTCAAATGAATTGGGGAAAAAATTTTTTGATGAAGTCAGTAGTAAATTATTTTAAATTAAAAATTATATTAATCATTATATAAATTGATTTTTGTATAATTTTTCAGGCATTAAATTATTGTAAAATTAAATCTGGAGCTATTGTTTCCTGTTATGGTATAACTAAATTCCCAGAAAATAACAACTATGCAATGGTTCTAAATTATATTCCAGGAGGAAATTTAAGAGATTATTTGCAAACAAATCATTCACATTTAACTTTAAAAAATAGAATTACAATATTTGAATATTTATGTGGCTCATTAAATGATATACATCAAAAAGATTTAATACATTGTGATTTACACAGTGGTAATATTCTAGTACAAGGAAATTGGTGTTTTATCACAGATTTAGGATTATGTGGGCCAGTTGATGATGAATCATCAAACAAAATATATGGAATTATATCATATATTGCACCTGAAGTTCTTTGAAAAACAAGCAAAAATACAAAAGAATCAGATGTATATAGCATTGGAATGTTGATGTGGGAGATATTTTCAGGACATCCACTTTTTGATGATAGAGCACATGATCATCATTGAATAATGGAAAT